TATTTAGCTTATCACATAAACAGAAAATGTAAACAAACTGATTATTTCCATCCATGTTTTTACCCATTTTCTCCATGTGTAATATGTTAGGATTTTGAAGTTAACTGTTTCTAAAAACGTATTTGCAAATTTTTCAACACCGCAAAAATTTCTTGAAATAATGAAGCCAACAAAATGAAGTCAGGTTAAAAACATAAATGAAGAAAAGGAAGGAAGGGAGGTAGGCAATTGTTTAAAGCTTCTTTCCCTCAACATACTATTATTTGCAATTCAGCTATCTTGTTGCATTTATCAGTAAGCTGATTCTTGGCCAGACACAGTGGCTCGGGTCTGTAATCCTAGCATTTTGGGAGGCCGAGGTGGGTGGATCACTTAAGGTCAGCAATTTGAGACTAGCCTGGCCAACTTGTCTTTTCTAAAAATACAAAAATTAGCCTGGCATGGTGGCAGGCACCTCTAATCCCAGCTACGTGGGAGGCTGAGGCAGGAGAATCGCTTGAACCTGGGGGGAGGTGGAGGTGGCAGTGAGCCAAGATTGCACCACTGCACTTCAGCTTGGGCAACAGAGAGACTCCGCCAAAAAAAAAAAAAAAAAGTGGATTCTTTTTATTGCTGAGTAGTGTTCCATTGTATACCATTTGTTAGTCCATTCTCTTACTGATGGACAGCTGGGATGTATGGATGTTAGAAGGAAAGATGCCTTGAACTGTTATAAGTTTTTATGTGAACATATTTTTTTAAATTTTCTTGTGATTAGAGCTGCTGGGACAGAGAATCAGTGAAACCTTAATTTTATCAAATGTTTTTTATGTTCCAGACCTTAACTGATGAGTTTTAAAAGTAACTTTTAAATTTGAAATGTCAATTATGGAATATGCTTTAATGTAATCTTTTGGGATAATCATGTAATATTTTTCCTTTAGATTTTTAATACAAATAACAATAAAATTAATAATTAATAGTAAAGTAATATCTTTCCAGTCTTCCCAATCTTGGAATGTGGGGACCGGATGAGAAAATATCTTTGAATTTTGAGATCTTTATATGGCTCTCTCAAGGCCTTTAAAAAGAGTATTTAATTGTGTTGATTTATTTTAATGATTATTAAAATTTTGACTTTTTTTGAAGCTATTTCTTGTTTACTTTCTCTTTAGAGAAAACTGCTCAATCACAAAACATAACATAAGACTTTCATGTCAGTGTCCAATAGAAACGAATTCTTTATGGTGACCAGATGGGGTTATAATCCAGAACTCTGGTAGGCACATCCATAAGGTGCAAGGTGTATTGAAAAGAGTACCAGTTTTTTTGGCTGGGTGAGGTGGCTCACACCTGTAATCCTAGCATTTAGGGAGGCTGAGGTGGGTGGATCACCTGAGGTCAAGAGTTCAAGACCAGCCTGGCCAACAGGGTAAAACCCCGTCTACACTAAAAATACAAAAATTAGCTGGGTGTGATGTTGGGTGTCTGTAATCCCAGCTACTCAGGAGGCTGAGGCAGAAGAATGGCTTGAACCCAGAAGGCAGAGGTTGCAATGAGCCAAGATTGAGCCACTGATCTGCAGCCTGGGCAACAGAGTAAGACTCTGTCTCAAAAAAAAAAAAAAAAAAAAAAAGAAAAGGAAAAGAAAGAAAAGAGTACCAATTTTAAACAGGTGTGAATCTGAATCCTCTGCTTACTAGCTACATGATCCTCAAAAAATTACATGCATAACTGAGTCTCATTTCTTCATCTGAAGAAATGTATGAAACCTAAATCCTTAGGGGGTTTTTGGAGGATGGTATATTTAGAGTATCTAATTTATGGTGTGTATTCCGTATGTTTAATTTTTCTTCTCAGTCATCCATGCAGTCAGTATTTATTCGGCGGCTACTCTATAGCAGGCTCTGTGCTAGGCACTGGGGATACACCAGTGAACAATGGCCACTGTCACACTGCCTGTCATCCAAGTAATTACGAAGCAGTGCTGCCTACACCACGACAGGAGAGAGTGCTAAAGCTGTCATAAAAGGGAGGTCAAGGAACATTCTCAGAAAAAAAGGTATGTATCTACAGTGCTTTAAAGGATGAGTGGCAATTATCCTGGAGTGGCAAAGGAGAGCACTGCTTGTTTGAAAAGGCAAAAGTAATTTAACACGGCTGGAGTGTTTATTTAGTTGGGAGAAACGGCAGAATACGGGCTTCCATAAGGGTCCCAGGTAAATTGGCAAAGGCTGTATATCGGCTTTTTAATTTTTAAAATTGCTAAATTGTTATAAAATTAATTTTGTTGCAGCTGAATGTGACTGTAGAAAAGCTTCCAACGAATTGGATTGGTTTCACTTTAAATTCATGATCGCAAGCTTCCAGTGAGCCCGTCCCTCATCTATTCACTCCATCTTAGATGATCGCTTCATAGTGAATCTCTTCCAACCCTAGACACTTGTTTATCTATCCTCCCTCCTAGCTGGTGACTTTCTGACCAGAAGTATTTCAGATTCTGGATTCTTTTGGATTTTGGAATATTTGCATATGCATAATTGGGTATCCTGAGGATGGGACCCAAGTCTAGACACAAAATTCATTTATGTTATACATTTGCTTAGTACATATAATCTGAAGGTAATTTTATACAATGTTTTTTAGTAATTTTGTGCATGAAGCAAAGCTGTAGCTGTGTTTTGGCTGTGACCTGTCACAGGCAGTCAGGTGTAAAATTTTCCACTTGAGGTGTCTTGTCAACAGTCAAAAAGTTTTGAATTTTTAAGCATTTTGGATTTTGATATTTAGATTAGGGATGCCTAACCCATATTATACAAAAAGTAGATATCAAGAAATTGTTTATGTATATTTGCAAATATTTTCTTCTTGGGTATAATTTTTTGTAAAATATTTTCACTATTATAACATTTATTTACTAACCCATATAAACTTAATAAAAAAAGCTATGATTATTTTAATATACTGGATGCACTTGTTTCTATCCTCTTCAGTTTTATATCCTCAATAAATATATAACGACTAATAGAAAATAATATTTTTTGCTACTGAATAAAACAATTAGCACATCTTCTATGAGAGACCTTAAAGTTAATTAGGCATTTAATCAGGCTAGTAGTTCTGACTGCATGTTAGAATCAATAGATGAGTTTTTTAAAATCCTGATGCTGAGGTCCCACCCCAGATAAATCCAAATGTCTATCCATGGAACAAACTGGTATTTTAAAGCCTTCCAGGCAATTTCGGTCTATAGCCAAGATTAAAGGCCACTGGTTAACCAGCGCCTACCACGCCTTGGACATAATTTGAATAAACCTTTGTAGACACTTCCAAATGAAGATCAGGGGATCTCTAGCATGCTGCAAACATGCCGTCTCTGTTTCTGTCTTATTTAAAACGTAACATAAGACTTTCTTAAAGGATCGGGGTAAGAGTCTGAAGATGGCTTCGCATATCTGCCGTTCAATCTCTTTTAATGAACACTAGCAAAGACTTGACTCTGTGTTAGGGGTTAATGGAAACACAAAGGAGGAAGAAAACATGACCTCTGCCTATAAGAATCCCAGCTAAATACATTAGATAAGTGGTTTTCCTCTCCAGTCTTCATGATCCCTGTCTGTGCAATGAGGATAATGCAGATATCTTTCTTATCTGATTGTTGAGATGATGTTAATAAAATGTTGTACATAACTGCTTGTGAATGGCAGTACATTTAAAAAAAAATAATGTGGCTGTTATTTTTGTTTTCTTATTTTCAGCTGATAGAAGCTGACAAGAAATTTTTACTGAGAAGTAGGGTAAAGACTCTCAAACACTATAATGTGCATGCCTACACTCTTAGATATTATGGGAATCTCAAGAAGGATTTGAGGAGAGAAAAACAATATGCGGCAGGATGCTGATGTCTCTCAACTCTCCATGAATTAAGATGATAAAACTTTTAATCTGTAGAAATAAGGTAATGTCATAACCCCTGGTTTTGGCCTAGGGAGTTAAGGGTCTCGGATCCAGAGAAGTAAACTGTATTAATGACGTGGTCATATCCGTGTGGGAGCTTGTTTGGAAATGTGCAGAATTGATTCCAAGATGTTTTAATAATGCAAGCCAGGGTTTGCATCTCAAAGTAATGGTCCATCAAGGATGGTCTTTAGAGCTATTTTCTAACTGACATGCTTAGTGCAGACTCACATCAAAATGCCCTTTTAATAAGAATCAGTAACTGGTAAGCTGAAGCCTAACTCAATTTGTGTTATTTCTCTGCAAATCTGTAAGCCATTTATGTGCCATCACCTGAAGACCTCCCACCCAAAGTTATTAGTATACAATAGGATGCATAACAGAGCTCCATGGCTTCTATGTGGAATAAATTATTTCACTTTATTTTTAAAAATATTCTTTATGTTTATACTCAGAGTAAATGAGCAATGTTATACCTGTTCTCCTCTGTAAATTGTCACACCTTAAGGTCCTTAGGATGGCTCAACTCTTTCACTTTTCCAGCATAGGAAAGAATTGTTTAATAAAAATAAAATGTGTAACAATGGATTCATGATCAAAAGAAGGCAAAACAGAAGATTTTTTGTTTTCTATTTCTCTTGACTGCTCAGCTAATTGCAACACCCACTAAACCTTTCTTTATCTCGCCCGCATCATAGGGTTCATCCCTAATGTTGCTCAACATTTTATACCTGTGTGGAAACTACCATTTAACAAAATTTCATTTGATGCAGGAAAAAAAAAATCATTCTTTCAATATTTGATAATTTTGTAGGGTCCAGCACTTTTATTAGGTTTTTATTTTCTTCAAGAGAAATAAAATAGAGGCAGTGGCAAAGGATTACTTCTCTACCCCCGGGGGTTGAATACTCACCTGAGGACACAGTGTGCTTGATTCTTGATTTGAGATTCCTTTTTATGCTTACTTACTAGGACTTTTTTATTTGTCTTCCTCCAGGTGAAATAATTAAAAAAAAATGGAGAATGGAACACCGATTTACTAATAAAGAACATTAATAAAGAATAAAAAATAGCCCCCGCCTACTAATGTTTTGGCCGCTTCTAGATGGCGGTGCAGGAGTCGGTGGCTCAGTTGTTCATGGCCCTGAAGGTCCAGGGGTACCCGACCCTCAAGGTGCCCTACGAGACGCTGAACAAACGCTTTCGCGCCACTCAGAACATTGACCGGGAGACCAGCCACGTCACTATGGTGGTGGCCGAGCTGGAGAAGACGCTGAGTGGCTGCCCCGCCGTGGACTCTGTGGTCAGCCTGCTGGACGGCGTGGTGGAGAAGCTCAGCGTCCTTAAGAGGAAGGCGGTGGAGTCCTTCCAGGCCGAGGATGAGAGCGTCAAGCTGTGCAAGCGCCAGATCCAGCACCTCAAAGAGCACAGCAGCGAGCAGCCCGTGGCGGCCAGCGTGTGGCAGAGGAAGCGCATGGCCGCATGGTGGTGGAGCACCTGCTGCGCTGCGGCTACTACTACACGGCTGTCAGGGTGGCGCGCCAGAGCGGCCTCGAGGACCTCATGAATATCAAGATGTTTCAGCCAAAGAGGTAGAGGAGTCCCTGGAGCGACTTGAGACGGCCACCTGCCTGGCCTGGTGCCATGACAACACGTCCCGGCTCCGGAAGATGAAGAGCTGCCTGGAGTTCAGCCTCAGAATCCAGGAGTTCATTGAACTCATCCGGCAAAATAAGAGATTGGACGCCGTGAGACAGGCGAGAAAGCACTTCAACCAAGCAGAAGGGAGCCAGCTGAATGAGGTGCGCCAGGCCATGGGCATGCTGGCCTTCCTCCCTGACACGCACATCTCCCCGTACAAGGACCTCCTGGACCCCGCACGGTGGCGGATGCTGATCCAGCAGATCCCGTACGACAACTACCGACTACACCAGCTGGGAAACAACTCCGTGTTCACCCTCAGCCTGCAGGCCGGCCTCTCTGCTATCAAGACACCACAGTGCTACAAGGAGGACGGCAGCTCCAAGAGCCCCGACTGCCCTGTGTGCAGCCCTCCCTCAACAGGCTGGCGCAGCCCCTGCCCATAGCCCACTGTGCCAACTCCCGCCTGGTCTGCAAGATCTCCGGCTTTGTGATGAACGAGAACAACCCGCCCATGATGCTGCCCAACGGCTACGTCTACGGCTACAATTCTCTGCTTTCTATTCGTCAAGATGATAAAGTCGTTTGCCCAAGAACCAAAGAAGTCTTTCACTTCTCACAATCCGAGAGAGAAGGTGTACATCATGTAGGCCCCTTGTCGCCAAGCGCACGACAAGGGGACGGCTGCAGCGGGCGGAGAGGCCGCGCCTTCTTCCTGCCACGCGCTCCAGCTGGCCGCGCGCTTCTGTTGCTTGCGACCAAAGATCAGCGAGCAGCGATAAATACTCTTTAGGAAGAGAGGAAATAAGATTTAATAAATTTGTACTTGAAAACAACATTTTGACTGGTAGGATTTTGCAACATGTCAACCATTTGATGCTTCTGAAAAGTACTTTCAACTTTCGAAGGAAACTTTCCTTTAAAGACTGACCTAAACCCCGAGGGAAACTTTAGAACGTTTCAAAAATAGGAGTCCACGGTTTCCCCGTGTTTTTGGTTTCTTCCCTTCTGCGAACGGTGAGACCTGGAGAACAGGCTGGTCCTTCGCCACCTCCCAGAGCCCCTGGCCCGGCCTGGGAAAGGTGGCGGCGGCGCTGGACTGAGCTGCAGCGACCCGCAATGCCGCGCCATGAGGGACACACGGCTTCCTTCGAGAGCTGCTGCCGTGGGGGGCTGGCTTTGAGGGCGCCTGCCTGCCTTCGGGCCGTGTCCGCGGGACTGTCTGCGTCGGTGGGTAGGTTCCATATCACATCCCCGTGTGCCGTCTTACTTCCTGAGAATGTATAACCTGGAAATCCACGGGACCAAGTTTCTGCAGAGGCCTTGCCGGGTGGTTCCATAACTGTAGAGTCGAATTAATCGTTCAGTTGAGAGTACTGGTGACGTTTCAAAGCAAATGAACCGCCGTAGTTTTCACAGAACCATATCGTGGAGGTTTGTAGTTAGTGCTTATTTTTGCGTGTTGATGTTGACTAGCTAATAAACTCTAAATGTAAACCATGGAATAAACTGGTTTTCTATTTCTCAAAAAATAAATAAATAAATAATAAAAAATAAACAAGGCACAACTTGAGAACATACATATACAAAAACAGACTCAACTTTTATTTCAAAAAAAAAAAAAAAGGACAGAAGTTTGCTGAATTTGCCTTACTCCTAAGATATTTTTGCTTTCACTTTGTTGGGAAGACCATTAACACGAGGAAGCCGGAGCTCCTGGAAAACAGGCCCCTTCTACCCAACATGTTTTCTGTGGGGCTGTTCAGTTATTTTCAGCCTTATGCTGTAATTTTCCCATTTTATCTTAAGCAATACCATAACTAGGAATGGGTGACATCCAGGAGGTTTGTTTGCCAGATAACATTCTCTTTACAATATAAGGGCTCTTTGAGAGAGTTAACATAATACATCCTCAGAGTAAAGTCTAGGAAACTCTTTAGAAATTAAATATTACTTGAAACATAGGAAAGTCGTTCAGGTGACAGAGCTATTAGAAAATAAACATCTTGGGGTGTGGGGAGCTGGGGAGAGATAGCAAGGGGAGAAATGCCAGATGTAGGTGATGGGGAGGAAGGCAGCAAATCACACTGCCACGTGTGTACCTATGCAACAATTTTGCATGTTCTTCACGTGTACCCCAAAGCCTAAAATGCAATAAAATAAATAAATGGGGAAAAAAAAAGAAAATAAACATCTTTAAAATAAATTATTACAATGTAACTTATCATTCATTAATGTTGTTAGTGTTTATGCACTAAAACATAGCCCAAAATAACCTATTTTATCCTCATATTGTAACACAAATTATGTTACACTTGAACAAAAATCCCTCAATGTGAAGCTGATTTTAAATCCATCATCAGCTCTACTAGTCAAAAATGGAGAATCCTTTTGCATTTGTACCTCTGGCAGCCTAGGTAATGTATCTTCTCCCCATGTTTCTTTATCTATTCATTAATGAATTGCTTAGCGTTAATGAATAAAGAAACATGGAGAGAAGTTGCTTAGCGTCGAAATTGTCCATGGTCCAGTTGATCCAATCAGAACGATTTCACAGGCTGGTTGTATTGTATGTTACCTTCTGTTTTCAATTCCCATCCTTTGGTCTCCATAAGAATAAAAAACCGAGGGTTTTTTTTTTTTTTGCCATTGAGTATACAGAATATTTTCGGTTATTGTTCAAAAGTGAAGCCACAAACCAGAAACTGTTTTTCTTCTTTGTTTATTTGCTCCTCTGGCGATGTATGTTTCATGGATGTGAGCGCTCAGGTCTAAATTTCAGATCTACATTCAGCACAGCATCTTCATGGACAGCTAAAGAGATTGCAGGTGGTAAAACAGAACACGTGTGGTCATAGGATGAACCTACTCCAAATATTTTATTAATCTCTTACACTCCCCTCTCTCACAGGCTTCCTTTGCATAAATATTTTATATTATGATTTTATAAAGAAATAGATACATTACCTCCATTGTGATTGTTCTTAAAATTTAGCATAATTATCTCTTTTGAAGAATAGAATGGTCCTTTAATCAACCAATTAAAATTGTATAACCCACCAGAAGAATTCATATGCTATTTTTAATAATTAATCACAAACTATATGTCTAGGACTATTTAATATTTATTTTAGCTCCATGTATATTATTTCCATCTACTTTTTATGTTAATGGGTTAACAGTATGAGTGTGAATATGTGAATTTCTAAATGGAAACAGATTTACCTTCTTTATTAAGCTTTGGATTTTCAAGGAGAGCAATGGTTAAATATGATTAAGGCCAATTTATATGTAACTATATTTTTTTTCCTGAAATTGACAGTATAGGTGAATGTATTCTGGTATTGTACTTTCTCCTTTGAAATAATGAAGAAGCCAGACAAAAGGATTATTGCTCATAGAAGAGAATGGAAACAAGCAAGAGACGCAGGGAAGGGACTCAACCCACTCTTTCTCTAAAATTATTCATGTCTGAGACAATGACTGATTTCATGAGTGTCTTCTTACCTCTATTCCTTTTTACGGCATATTTTAAGGTTGATTTTTGAACTGGATTTGCAAATGTTTTCTAAGGTTTCAATGAAGGTCAAAACGCCTTTGCAAACTATTTCTCGGGATATGAACCATGAGTATGTGGGTCAGTAGGTAGCAATGATGACATGACGCACCTGTGGAGAACTACATGGTGAAAGATTAAATGCTTTTTGCCTTAGATCAGAAAGAAGAGGTTGTTCACTTGTCTAGAATGAATGCTCTGAGTTTCTTTATCAGCTTAGTTGGTAACCATTGTTTTCAGCAGCCACTAGAGGCCCAGACAGAAGCACAGCAGCAGGGGATCCACCTGCTTGGGTCAGATTGCAGACGTGGCTTCAATGACATGACCACGATGTGAAAGTTCTCTGGGGGCACACAGCGTGCCTAGAGAACACACACACACACACACACACACACACACACACACACACAGCATGCCTGGAGAACACACACACACACACACACACACACACACACACACACACACATAGGTAAACACCTTTATTGGGTCCAGGGCATTATATAAAGAGGGAGCTTTAAATTGATGGGTTTAAAGCAAGTAGGCACTAGTACTAGGAGGTCACATTGTGACTTAAATGCGTCTAAATGGTCTGTTTAGAGGAAGCAGCAGAAAAGCTGGGAGACCAGCCTGCTGAGAGACAGAGATGCCTCTAGGTTATTATTTCTGGTCACCGGCTGGAGCCATTTGGTGAGAGGTATACTATAGGAAACTACATCAAGGGTGACTGAACCCTGCTTCTGGTTTGAGAAAGTTAAACCTATCTTTAAAAATGGATGCCAAGGCAATCTAAAATTTTAAGCACTCACTGCACCACCCTTACCTCTTATATTTAACATTGTACTGGAAGTTCTAGCCAAGATAATTAAACAAGAAGAATAAATGAAAAGCATTCAGGTTGTAAAAGAAGAAGTAAAATTATCTCTATTTGTAAATGACATTACATTGTGTATAGAAAATTCCAACAATGCCGCTAAAAAGATTATTAGAACTAATAAACAAGCTCGGCCTGACTGCAAGGTACAAGGTCAATATACAAAAGTTGTACTTCTGTACTCTAGCAATGAACACTTCGAATTAGACAAATCCATTGATAATAGCATAAAAAAATAAAATGCTTGGAAATTAATTATTCAAAAAGAGCAAAAGTTATACCCTAAAACTACAACACATACTTGAAAGAAGGTAAAAAAGGAGTAAATAAATGAAAAAACCCCCATGTTCATAGATTGAGAGACCTTATTAAGATGGCTTCCCAAATTGATCTACAGTCATCACATCTCTATAGAAATCCCAATAGCCTTTTCAGTGGAAATTGACAAGCTGGTTGTAAAATTCACGTGGAAATTCGAGGGACCCATGACAGTCAAAGCTATCTCGAAAACGAAGGACAAATTTGGAGGATGTACACCTCTCTATTTCGAAACTTACTACAAAGCTATGATAATAATTGCAGACTTGTACTGGCATAAGAATAGACATAAAGATCGATGGGATACAACTAAGAGTTCAGAAATCCATGTTTACATGAATAGCCAGTTGATTTTCAACAAGGATGCCAAGGCTGTTCAATGCAAAGAATAGTCTTTTCAACAAATGGTGCTGGGAAAACTGGATATCACATGCCAAAGACTGAAGCTGGACCCTTTCCTCTTATTTTATTCAAAAACTTACCTCAAAAATATATCAGAGACTAAAATTTAATAGATAAAATTATAAAACTCTTACAAGAGAGCATAGGGGAAAAAAATCTTGACGTTGGTTTAGGCAAAGCCTTCTTATATATGACACCAAAAACACAAGCAACAAAAGAAGAAAACAGATAAGTTGGACTTCCTATGACGTATACATATATGACTACATCACATTGTATCCTATAACTGTATGCAGTCGTTATTTGTCAATTATTTTCTTTTTAAGTAAAAAACAATTTTTTTGACAAGGGGTCTTACTCTGTTACCCAGGCTAGAGTGCAGTGGCGTGATTTCAGCTCACGCTACCCCCACCTCCTGGGTTCAAGCGATTCTTGTGCCTCAGCCTCCCCAGTAGCTTCTTGTGCCTCAGCCTCCCCAGTAGCTTACAGATATGCACTACCACACCTGGCTAATTTTTTTATTTTTAGTAGAGACGGAGTTTCGCCACGTTGGCCAGGCTTGTCTCAAACCCCTGATGTCAGGTGATCTGCCTGCCTTGGCCTCTGGAAGTGTTAGAATTGCAGGTGTAACCCACCATGCCCAGCCAGAATTTTTGTAGTTCAAAGGATGTGGCCAAGAAACTGAAAAGATAACACACAGAATGAGAGAAAATGTTTGCCAATCATATATCTGATAAAGGATTATATCCAAATAACGCAATGTAAAAATGGGCAATGGATGTGACTAAACATATTTCCAAAGATTGACCTGTAAACTCATTGAAAATGATCAACATCATTTGCCATTAGAACAATGTAAATCAAAACCACAAATGAGGCTAGGCATGGTGGCTCATGCCTGTAATTTGGGAGGCTGAGGTGGGCAGATCACTTGAGGTCAGGAGTTTGAGACGAGCCTGGCCAACATGAAAAACCTTGTCTCCACTGAAAATACAAAAATTAGCTAGCTGTGGTGGTACATGCCTGTAATCCTAGCTACTCGGGAGGCTGAGGCAGGAGAATGACTTGAATCCAGGAGGCAGAGGTTGTGGTAAGCCAAGATTGCGCCACTGCACTTCAGCCTGGGTGACAGAGCAAGATTCGACTCAAAAACAACAACAACCACAAAAAACACCAATGATACTGCCTTTTTTTTTTTTTTTTTGAGACAGAGTTTTGCTCTGTTGCCAGGTGCCAGGCTGGAGTGCAGTGGCTCAATCTCTGCTCACTGCAACCGCTGCCTCCAAGGTTCAAGCAATCCTGCCTCAGCCTCCCGAGTAGCTGGGACCACAGGTGCGTGCCACCATGCCCAGCTAATT